ATAATGGTTATTTTTTAACGATTATTCAAGTCCCAAAAAGAGAGATTATAATAAAAAATTTCGAGCGTCTGTACCCTGTAATCGCTATATTAACTGATGTTAAAAAAACTTTCCCGAAAAAGAAAAAGAACCGAGCTTTAGCGAATATTATTCGCAAGTTTCGCCCTTCAGTTTCCGTATCCCCAAAGTCCTAAGGAATTCAGCCGCCAGATTTGTAGAAATAAATTTCTATAAATAATAGAAATAATTTAACTATTCGAAAGTTGAGCATCAAAACATTACCGGACCTTTACCAGGTCGACAATGAAAAAAAAAAATGGTATCAATTCTGATCTCTTGATACGGAAGTAATTTTCAGAACTCGGCTATTTTCGAATCAATTTCTTTCATACTTTTGTCCATTTCGAATATTAAAAAATAATTTTTCGTTGGGATAGTTAAAAAAATAATTTAAGCCGCTTTGTTTTCTTTTTTATCCGGCAAGTTTCATTATGGACCTCATTGCTGCTCTGTATGACCTACAGCCACGACTCAATCTGAAAGCTTGGCTGAAAAAAATTGGATTCATGAACCTAAAGAGCTTATATGTCATTACGAAATGTTTAACAGCGCTCTAATTGTAAAGCCGGAAACTTCCTGTGTCATAGGTACTTGGCTATCCGCGTGTTTGTTCATGTTAAAAGACTTCAAAGAGCATCGCAGAAGAGTGTAAAAATCGCTGAATGAAACTCCAGCTTCGGTCAAAGATTCACACTGCTTGGCGACGGACATAGAGGCGGCATGTAATACAATCTGTAATTACTGAACTAGTAAATTATGTGATTATTTTTCAGAATTTTTAGGGATATTTATATCTCATAAGATAGATTAACTATTGAGACGACACTGATTTAGGTTTGATAAACGTGTCAAAGTCTTAGGCAAAAACTATCGAATTGTTAAACATTGGTATATACGGTAACTATTCTGATCTTTTTCAAAAGAGTTATCAAACCTAAATGAAAAATAAAGAAATTTAGCCGTTATTCATCCCTAGCCTTACATAGGAATTTAAAAATATTTGTCTACTTAAAATCGCTTCAAAAAATTATTTATTTGCCCAAAAATTCAAATTTAAATTCCCTTAATTAAAATCGTATTATTTTGTTGGCTTCATGATTCGTGGTCATTCCAATCATCCCAGAAGTCATCAGTGCTTCAATTGGTTTATTTTTACTTCCCATTTCACTGTCGTGAACAAGAATTTCCACTCAAATTTGTTTTTATACGGTGCACTAATTACACCGCGGAATATTGTACTGTATTGTTCCAAGATGTTATTTTAGGTCATATTTGTGAAGGCTTAATTGTTATGTTGACCGACTGTCAGCGTTCTGAATCTCCTTTTTATTTACAAGCACACAATTCTTGACTTTGGACTGGCAACATTAATTCGATTATCACCAGTTCTGACAGTATTTTCCCATTCTAATACGATCCTGCTCATACGATAAATTTAACTTCTTCAATGAATCGGTTTTCCACCAATTTTAAGTTCTGCAAAGTTCCTAATTTGTCCGCTGGTTCGAGTTCAGCAATGGTACCGAAGTCGACCAGAATCATTGATTCTATGAAGATTTTGTGGTCGACGATCGTTGCATGAGCAGCGAAATCGAAATATCTTCAGCACAATGCGGGCTTGTGACGTGTTGTTTGGTGCAGGCTTATTGCGTGTTGTTTGGTGACAGGCTTATTGCGTGTTATTGGTCACAGGCTTATTGCGTGTTGTTTGGTGGCAGGCTTATTAATTGCGTGTTGTTTGGTGCAGGCTTATTGCGTGTTGTTTGGTGCAGGCTTATTGCGTGTTGTTTGGTGCAGGCTTATTGCGTGTTGTTGGTCACAGGCTTATTGCGTGTTGTTGGTCGCAGGCTTATTGCGTGTTGTTGGTCACAGGCTTATTGCGTGTTGTTGGTCACAGGCTTATTGCGTGTTTTTGGGCACAGGCTTTTTTGAGTGTAGTTTCGCGAAGTGTTGAGTGTAGTTTTAAAGCGTTTTCTTTTTTGTGCAGGCTAATAGCATTGCGTTTGGTACAAGCGAATATCCAAATGGTAAAATTTTGACATGCAAATGATGGCAAAATTGCCCATATCAGTTGTGTTGTCTCTTACGAGGCTAGCAAGCTCATGATTTTATAAGAAATAGATGCTATTGCCAATACCTGGCATCAAACCGTATAGGATGAAACATTTTGTTCACGAAAAGTCTCAACTGCTTGGTGTACAGGTGTAGACCCTATGTGAACAGGTGAACAGTGCTACTTCTGTTTGAAATGTTTGGTGTAGCTTTGTTGTGAACAGTGCAGCCTCTGTTTAAAATGTTTGGTGTAGGCTTCTTGTGAAAAGTGCAGCCTTGATGTAAATCATCAGTCAAAATCATTCACACAAATGTTTTTTTAACCTGCTAATACGACAAAGAATGATCATGAAACCATATTTTTTATGCGGACTACCAGCTAATAACAGCTTCATAGTAGCATCATTGATACTGAATATGCTTGGAGAATTCCAGCATTCGACTGTTGATGCATTGACAGTCCAGTTGCGGCGTCACCGCCGTTTAGAGTGGTTGGCGTCGGTCTCTTTTTAAGCGATCCATTGAGAGGAGTTAGCGAGCAGTTTTAGCTAATAATTCTGGTTCGAATTCTGTTCTACATGAATGACCTCCAGTGTACTTGTGATTTTAGGAACCTAAAAATTTCGTTATTTGATCTTAAGAATACTGATCCTTATATGTGATATTTTCTTTCAAAATCAAATTTTATCTTACGGACACTCGGATCTAATATCATTAATATATACTTGATATAACTACCACCAATTACTCTTTTAACAATTCAGTGTCAAGCATTAAGTTTATCTTGCAATTATACTGCATTTAGGTTTATTATGAACTAGATATATTTTCACAGTGTATCAACACGGTTCATGTGTTATAGAAGAAAATGAAAATTTCTTTCAATCACCATGTCACCGGCACCATGGAAATAAGTGCTAGAAAATACGTTTCTATAGGTTCCCGTTTAAATGACTGCTAGAAAATAGGTTGCCCGTTAAAATATATTAGGGGAACCTTATTTCTAGCATTTATTTCCCAGGGAACCTTGGGGAACCCATTTCTTTCATCTGCACATTCAACGAATTTAAATACATTCACCAGCATATAACGTCTGTTGCAGAAGAAAGCAATCTTCGGAATTCGCAATAAAAACTCGTGCTTCTCATTAAAACGACGCATCACTCAGGAAAATTAATGAGTCATGTTGTCCAACTAGCACCAAGCTTTCTGCATATAGCACATGGTACTCGTACTTCCTTTTGCCGCGCAAAACTGGGTCAAGTTGACCCACACATCGATATTCAATAGGGTCTCTCGATTTTGCTGAGTGCTGTTGGAGTAAAGATGTTTAGAAATCCTGCTAGTGTTGCTTATGGCGGCTGGCACCATAGGTTTATGAAATTCATCAATATATGTAACTATAGGAAGCCATGGTCATGGTGCATTCAAAACGATCGTGTCAATGTAATTGGAAAGGATAAGGTAATATGCTATTTCAGGTTGCGTAAGAAATCTTCGTTACAAAATTCACTATTAAAAAGGAAAAAAAATACAACTAAAATACAAAGAGAGCAGAAAAAGGCAATGAAAATTAAAAAAAAATTAGTTTAATTATTTAAACGCAATTTTTTTTGCCCTTTTTCTCAGCAGTGATGTCGGCCAAAAAATACGCGTTCCACAACAGATCATGAAAGATAGGTTTACAAAATTTAGTAACCTTGTCGTCATGAACGTCGAAATTTAAGGGAACCTTTCTAAACTGCGGCCAGTTAAGCAGAAAATAAGGCAATGAAATATGAACTACTCTGGGGAGACAAGTGAATGACGAGGGGTCCTGCTACAAGATGTTGTATTCATAGTACTGGTTCTTAAAATTTCAATTCCAAAAGCTCGTTTGTTGATGTATTATCTGGATCTTGAATTTATTCTCAGTGGCCTATTTAAATTTACACGCAAGTATAGAAAACTAGTGACATTTTATTTCCCGAAGGGTACTTTTAAGTTTTATCGCTAGTGTGGTTTTGAACGGCTGTTTCATCCGCTTCAAATTTTTTTCACTTTATTCGGATTGACCAATTTTTAGAGTCCTGAGCAAAACTTATTTTACTGCTTTATTTCGTTTACTAAATAATATGGGCTTATTTTATACCTCATAAAAAATAACCAACATAACTAAGCGAACTCGTAAGTTGATGTAACGTGAGAATAAAGAAATCGTGTGCATTTACGATGGAAATTTCACGATTATTAGTACAGACATATGACAGAAGTCTATTCGGTACGCATTCAAAGCCCCGACATTTGTTAGAATGATAATTACCGAACTAGAAAACTCCACTTGTAAGTAAGAAAACACATCTTTTTAACAAGATTTGGTATTTTTAATCGATTGTTTTATCGTAAATTGATATCTTTATACTATGCATGGTCAGGCAGAATCAATAACAGTGTTGAACGACCGGTAGGGATTGCTTCTTCTTAGGGCCGTGGAAAGCCTTCCATCAGGCGATGTGTGGCCACCAATTATTTATTATTCTATTCCATCATGCATGCTTCTTTTTATGCACACAAATTTTATTTAGTCTCATGATGAAGTTCATACAGTAGGAACTAATGTGGAATTTCCTTTAGAAAATAATCTCAGTAAAGGGAATTCATATCAGGAAATTGAAATATCAGTAAATTGTTCACGAAAGTTTCAACTGCTTGGTGTATACCTTTTGTTAACAGTGCTGCTTCTGTTTGAAATGTTTGGTAGAAGTAACTTAAAAAATTGTTAAAATCAAATAAGATATGCTTTGATCGTTTGTATTTATCAATACTTTTTTGTCAGGTGAAACATATAAATCTTTAAAAAATACGATTTTTAATAATTTAATCTCAAAACGAGGAGGTGGAAGGTGGAGATGCCGTCCGTTTGTGCAGCAATCGTCGCATTTTCTTTGACTATTGGTGAGTTCTCGAGCAAAATTAAAAATCAATGAAATATCTTAGAGTTTGTATATTTTAAAGTGTCGACAAAATCCGTATTCGTTCCAAAATTTTTTAAAAAATAATTCATGAGCAGCTTGGCATTATTTCAGGGATCATTCAATGTTTTTTAAACAATGTTCCCCGATTCATTTATAAATTAAGAATCTGGAGGACGACTTTTCAGAGAATTTGTTAACCGGACACTTCCCATAGGTTGGTGACGCGTCAATTTTTTTTAGTCTCAATGAATAGACAGAAAATCAAGTTTTTTCATGATCTAGTGAACGGTATTCACGCAGCGAGCTCATATGCTTTAGTGCCAATTTTTTATTGATATTTCAACCGAAGTCGGGGATTTCTTTAAAATATGAGCATGACGGTCAGTTGCGCACGATCGTCATGCCATCCTTCCCATTTCAAGCTTCCCCTTCACGTGTGGATAAAAACCACGGATTTCTTTCACGATTTCTTGCTCGACCTCCGATCCAGGTGTTGCTTCCCAAGCAAACTTAATATTCCATTCTGGATCGCCCCGGGCTCTATTGACTCGACTTAGAGGTGAATCAGGTGCAAATCCGCCACCTAATTCGTTCGCGTGCTAATTAGGAATTTATTGCCGGAGTCCATTGCCATATGGGCCGAATCTGCGTTATGTAACTAAATAAGAGCAGCTGGTCACGCTGTCTCATGTCAGACGCTGGTATATGATCGAACCATGCTCATCTCCCGCTCATGGTATTGCATCGATTTATATGCACCGGTAAGTTTGTTAATTCTTACAATGAAACGAGGTGAGAATTGACATTACCGATTTTTGCGCTAACTTGGTAGTTAGATATTAATTTAATTAATTATGTTACAAAATATCTTAATTTATTTTGCTGTGTACATTAACCACAAGCTGTTTGATGGCTTGGAAACATCATTTAGGGGTGCAAGAGGAGAAAGATACTTAATAAGTGCGTGGCAGTAAACAAATTAATGCTTGAAGCTCGAAAGATCAATTCAATCCTCATCATGACATAAATAACTAACATGTAAGCTGTTAATTGGCAGACCCATCAACACATGATCGTTCGGTTATGCATTAAGGGGCTAAACGTATTTTATTGCCCTTTCAGGCCACAATGATTTGGGATTGCACTGTTTGATATTGTGGAGACAGTGCATTGCATGATGACAAACATTAAACAAAGTACCTTCGGTGATACAAACAAAATCCACAACATTTGAATATTATCAGGTGAGATTCACAAAATTGTGAACCGCATAATTGTATCATATTGTGGTGTGGTTCACAAAATTCCTTTAGCGAATTAAGATCGTTTTATTTAATGGAGCTTACTGGGCATTACTCATGATCGCCCCAAGCTCGCTCGGTGCATGAGCTGATTAAGCTTAACACAAAGTTGCTCTCTGTATCTCTCTTCCTCTTTCGGGGAATTTAATTAATTCATTAGTCAGGGTTCGGCCGTAGTGGTTTCAATGGCACTTGAGGTTCTATATTTGGTAATAATGAATTATTTCAGTAGGGAAATGACACATCGAAAGATTCAACGCTAGTTATATTATGAAAATCAAACGCAGACCTAAGTATAGAAATTGGACAGAGTTATTGTCAATAGCCAAGTATAACACCGAGACCGACTGGCCGCTCACTGCTATATTACCCGCCCTACGAAAATAAAAGAACTGTCTAACTCAAGTACCCCAACTGATACATCATCGGGTTTTGGACACAGACACCCGAACACTGAGTCTGTCGAAAAGTCGAACACGAACACTGGTCGACTCTTCCGGAACTTGATTCCTCCTTAGTTATTGTTAATGAACGGCCTCGCAGGATCTTCGTGACACCGTGGCTTGGCGCCTCCTAGCTCGATAGTTTCTCTTGTTAAGTTGTTAGTATCTATCTGTGCTGATCTCTCTGCGCTGGTATAGGCTCCCGACCTATAGCACATCAACACAGCAAATCAGTTGACTCGGGATTTCATCCTGACGCACTCCCAGCTACTTAAATACCCCGCAACCCGCAACGGAGCGTCGCTTTGATTTTACCCAAACAATCCCAGAGTTTTTCCCCCACGAACAAGAACAACCACATCACACTATATCTTGCTATTTGCATTCGCCCCCACCAAATTACGCCATATCAAAATTCGTAATTCCTACTCTTTAATCAGACCGGATTTTATTCGGACGCTTATCTCGCTCGTAAGAGCGTGAAGCGTTCATAGAGCCGCTAATTTATGCGCCGGGTGAGCTAAAAAGCGTTTTTAATTCAGAAGCTAACTACTCCCCAAAAGTTTCGATGGGATTCATGGCCGAGGAAACACTGCCATCACGCGGATATTTGGCCGCCGACTATTCGCCTATTACATCAATTAATTCTCCTCCATATGTTATTTATCACAGGGCACTTTTATTCTGAAACTTCCATTCCAATTAATTATAAGTGCGTAAAAGTGTCATTTTCAAATAACTTTTGCTTTGTTTTTTGGACCTTCCGAGGCGATTTAAATGAAAACGGATCTACTGTCGTGATGAGCAAACGAGGCTTTTAAAAAAGGGTCCTACGTAAATAATTCCAGTGGAGGATGACTATGCGAATCATTGTGTTTCTGTTTTAAAATAAAATCATCCCTTTTCGTGATTTGTTTATTTAAAATCCAAATTTTAAATTTTTTAATCTGAAATTCCAGGAATTTCTCGTTAAGATGAATCCCATGGATTGAAATCGATTAAGCTTCTTCTGAAGTAAATTTATGGTGTAAATTATGATTAAAGGAGTGTGTAATATTCATGTTTATACATTATAACGGCAAATTTCGCTGCAATTTATTCTCAGCTCTCGCCGACTGGAAACGCTACATAAAATTATGTCGTAATTTGTGTCATTAATCTTTTAGAATGTCACTTTGATGGCTTGAATATACTGTAATTTGCATTTTCTGGATTGGTTAGGCGATATTTTGTCAATACAGCGAAATCATTTTAAACGTTTGGTTATTTTCATTTATACTACTGTAAGTCTGACGAGTTAGCGGCTTGTAACAACAGGTCTCAATACTTTCTTTGGAACATTGTTAACTCATTTTAGATTTTGTATAAAATAAATCTATTTATGCAAGACTTTTCCAGGAGAGATGCAACATAACTTTCCAGGAGAGACTTTATATTTATGCGAGAATTTTCCAGGAGAGATGCAACATAACCTAACTCAACTTCTACTTCATAATCCACGAATACCATGTTATCGTTTCAGAAAATAATTCAATAGGAATGAAGCAAATCGGAATTCAATAATATTATTAATATTTATCTTCGTTGATTGTATGGAATGTCCTCTTGCTTCAGAGGAGGTGGGCGTTGAAGGCACAAGACAGCCTGTAGATCAAAGAAGCTCTGAGTTTTAAAATACAGTACAGTAGTTTAGCACAGTAGTTTCAGATTTGCAGTGTCGGCTACACACTCGTATATTATAGGATTGGGTAAAAGATGTCGCCTAAATACTTCAGTCATCGCCATTATTTCCATTCATACACTGCTACTAGATATTTGCTAATCTTGAGATACTAATTGCTGATTGGTAATTCATAGATTATATTACTGTTGCGCAAATTACTGTTTCTTTGTGCTGATAAGTTTCCTCTTCAAGCTGATACGTTTTCTCTTCTAACCGAGTAATACGGGCACATTGAAGAAGATATTCCGGAGAGCAGCCGAACAAAAACGATTTAATTAAAAGCTCGACAACCCATGAGCTTTATCCCGGACTCTGTCACAGGTCACTTGCCTTGAACAATCCGCGATTAACGATTGTGTTATAGGCAAGATTATCTATTTACAAATTTATGTGCACAAACAGCAACAGAAGAATAAATCATGAACGTCGAATTATTCAATAACATTTATAAGCCAACTCGATGTCAATCCTTCAATCTGACAATGGATGTCAAACCTTCTTCTATTTGCTACGCTTACGAGCTGGTTCCTTGTTGGCATCTAACACTGAAATAGCCGTGTTTCAACGGAATCAACTTACAATCAACGCTGTTTCAACGACATGCGCCTGGAGGGTTCATCCAACGATGGTTATGCCACTAAAATTTTCACTTAAATGTTTGCAGTCATGACTCGAGAAAAAATTAAAGTTTTGAGCAAATGATTGCTTCGATTATTCATGCATGAATACTGCGGCCAGAAAAGTCCATGCACCAATAATTATTGTTGATTGGCAATTCAATGTGTTTACTGTGGCTTGAAGGCCTAGAGAGACGATCAAAAGCGCTTCCAAAAAGAAGAAAAATTTTTATAAATGTTGAATTTGGGTGCAGCCAGGAGCAGAAGTTGCGCAAGTTAATTCTAAAAATAAAAAATCCACGTTTTTTACGATTCTTGTCAACGTGGTGTCCAGGATAACATTAACAAATATGCGAATAAAGAGATGTTATTAGGTGATTCGGATAACTTTTATCTCGGCTAAAAAAATAACTATTCCAACGTTAATGACACCTAACAATAAATTCGCAATTAAAATGCAGGTTTTTCTTGCCTGCCTCCAGTATGTAGAGAAAATTCCGCTAATGGCATCGCTGTGTAAGAATGCGTCATTATTGCATTTAAAAATCGCTTCCCCAATTGATCCGTATAACTGGCAGAAGCATTCGTCTCATTGAAAATGATGCCAAAGCTTGGATGTATTCGGGAAGGTAGCAGAGAAGGGCCATACTTTGGGGTGTTATTATCGACGGGTATTTGTGATAGTAGCGAGATAGGGTCATACATTGAGGTGCTATTATAGACGGGTATGTGTGATGGTAGCGAGATAGGGTCATACTTAGAGGTGCTATTATCGACGGGTATGTGTGATGGTAGCGAGATAGGGTCATACTTTGAGGTGCTATTATAGACGGGTATGTGTGATGGTAGCAGAGATGGGGCTTAACTCTGGGGCGCTAGGGTAGATGTGCTGGATG